CAAAGAACTAGCCATCCTCCATTCACTACCATGGTGTCCTAGTCTGTCTGCATTCATTAGTGGTAATATTCTTTATGTATAATAAATTTTTATACCCAAACAAAAAAAAAAAAAAAAAGGATTGGTTCAAACAAGGCCAGACAGGGAAGATTAAAATAAAATACATAACTCTTCAAAAGACCAGTAATTAGTGAACATCACAAGCATCAAGAACTTCCAGGAAGACATGACTGTTACCAAATAAAACAAGGTACCAGTGACTAATCCTAAAATAATGAAGATATGTAATCTTTCCTGAAGAAGATTAATAAACTTCAAGACAACACAGAGAAGAAATTCAGAAGCCAATCACAGAAAATTAACAAAGAGATTAAAATTTTAAAAAATGATCAAGAAGAAATTCTAGAACTTAAAAGCTCAAATGACAAACTAAGAAATGTGTCAGAGTCTCTCAACAGCAGAATTGACAAAATAGAAGAGAAACCTGGTGAGCCTGAAAACAGGCTATTTGAAAATACACAGTCAGAAAAAAAAAAGAATAAGAATGAATCATGCCCAGAAGATCTATAAAAAAGCGGCCAGAAAACAAATCTAAGGACAGATAAAGAAGTTGGAATAGAAAGTTTATTCAAAGAAACAATAAGACAGAACTTTTCAAACCTAGAGAAAGACATCAACATTCAGATACAAGAAGGTCATAGAACAAAAGCAGACGTAACACAAACATTGCTACCTCAAAGCATTTAATAATCAAACCCCCAAAGGTCATAGATAAAGAAAAGGTCCTAATGTAAACAAGATAAAAGAAAGAAAAACATATAAAGCAGCTGTGATAAATCTGGCAGGAGGAATCTCCATGGAAATCTTAGATGCCAGAAAAAGGGTGATATGACACATTCAAAGCACTGAAGAAAAAAAACAGAACCTTAAGAATATTTATTTCCTGAAAAACTATACTTCAAACATGAAGGAAAAATAAAGATTTTCTCAGACAAATAAAAGCTGAAGGATTTCACCTATACTAGGCCTGTCCCACTAGAAATGCTAAAAGGAATTCTTCAACTGGAATGAAAAGGATGTTAATGAGCAATAAGAAATCTTCTGATAACAGTAAAGATACAAATAGAAAACATTCTATTGCTGCAATTGCTGTGCATAAACAACATATATCTTCAGTAAGAAGACGAAAAGACATCTACCAAAAATAATAACTTTTTGAGAGATAGTATGAAAAAATACAGATGGAAAGGAAAAAAAGGTAAAAAGCTGGAAGGGAGATGGAGTTAAAGAGTACAATTTCTGTTATATTTCTCTTTGTAATCAGAGCTATTATATATATAAAATAATTGGTTATAAAATGTTTCTTATGCTGGGTGCAGTGGCTCACACCTGTAATCTAGCACTCTGGGAGGCTGAGACGGGTGGATTGTCTGAGCTCAGGAGTTCGAGACCAGCCTGAGCAAAACTCAGACTCTAGCTCTAGCAAAACAGAAAAACTAGCTGGGCATCATGGCAGGCACCTGTAATCCCAGCTACTCGGGAGGCTGAAACAGGAGGCTCTCTTGAGCCCAAAAGTTGAGGGTGCTGTGAGCTAGGATGCCACATCACTCTACTCAGGGCAACAGAGTGAGACTCTGTCTAAAAAAAAAAGGAAAATATTTCTTGCTATCTTACAAGCGTACAAGTGAATCTTTCTAAGAGTAGAATGTGAACGTTTTAAAACAATAACTGAGAAAATGACATGAAGGCTGTG